AAAAGGTTAATATTAATTATTATAATATTATTAACTTTTAAATAATTAATTATATAAAATTTAATAATTTTAATTAATAAATTTTATTAAATAAAACTTTAATATTATAATAAAAAAACCTTTTTAATAATATTAATATTATTAAATATAAAATTTATAAAGGTTTAAAATTTAATTAATTATTTAATATATTAATTAATATTTTAAATAAATAAAAAAAATTAAAAGTTTTAATTTATTTTTTTTAAATTAAAATTTTATTAAAATAATATTATAAAATAATCCTAAAAATATTTTACTTTTATATTATTATTTTAATATTTAAATTAAATTTAATATTATAAATAATACCTTAATAATGCTTTTCTTTAAAAATTAAAAGCATTATAAGATTTAATATAAAAAGGTAATTCGATTAAATATAAAAAGAAGGTTAAAAGGTAAAAACTGACTACGTTGGGTATAGGGATTTATATATGCGAATTCGCATAAAAAGCGCGTGGCGGGGTGGCCCGTGACGTGGTGGCCCGGGACCCTTGCGATTTGCTTATTGCGCCAAATCCACCATCGCTATGACCGGCGGGTGAGAAAATGGACGATAAGAAATTCACAAGTATTAAACGACCGTGGTTATCAGACCCAGCCATTTAGTAATTTGTAGTAATTAGGCATCTTGTATCCGCAATAGTAGCCGAGCCAATGCGAGCGCTAATGTGACTGTAAGCTCCGTAGGAAGCAACCTCTCGAGATCACAAGAATCTACCCATGGACATTGATATATATCTATTAAATCATTTCAACTTTTTCATGTGATTTGGGTTGGAAACATACAGTGATGGATGGCGTAGCAATTGCATCTTCGTGGGGTGGCATCGACCTTTTATTCGCCTCGCCAGTCAGCATTCACACTAATTAGAAGCTATCAACTCTGCATTATGCCGGCATATGTCATGCAGCACATCCTCCAATCGAGCGTAGACGTCCTTAAAACTAGATAAGGCAAAAGACACCTTCATAAGCTCTGCTTTCACACCGTTGTGCAGCATCGAAGGATTCAGCTTGCTATTGTCAGCGGTGTTCAAGCTTCGCACATATTTAGAGACTGTCATTCAATGTATGGTCGGGATGGCACATATTTGCAGAGCAGCGTTGATGGATTCAGATCATTCCTATCATTACCGGATAATATCGCCATCTTCAGTAAACGTAGCGTCCTCGTTTTGTGAGTGTAGTAGGCGATCCAAATGTCTTCAAGTCTAGCGTTGTAGGCCATTATCGCCTTGAAGCCACTTTCTCTCGACGCAAAGAATGGTTCGCGAGTGGCCAGCTGACAATAAATAAGGGGTAATATTGCAGCCCCTATTATGTATGGCATATTCAGTTCTAGGTTGAAGAACGTGTCGGATGTCTGCCGGCGCCGTGGTGTTCGCCTAGCTTAGTCAGACCAGGGACGGTAGAGTTCCAACAACACGCGCCACCATTGCAAGGCTATATATCATTAGGCATCGCCTAATTTCAATGGTCTGAATCATGAAAGCAAGGTACCTACTGAATTGAAGCCTGGTCAGATCAGTTATACTAAGATTAGTGTGAGCTACTCATGTCTATCGATGGAGGGAGAATACGGGGAAAACAAGGCTTTTTAGCAAAAAGACTAAATAGAATTGAAAATACACTTACCAGTAGTATTTGGACGGCTATGGTTCTGTTCCCATTTTCCCTTCAAATTGCTACGCGTGCAAGTGACGTGAGAGTGCTTCCAGGTAACCCGCCTGTAACGGTGTGCACATCCACTGAAGAACCGCTGCTACCTATTTGAGCACAAGCAGTCATCTTGACTCGATCTGCTCTCACGAACATAAGACACGGAAAAGCGACCTGTGAAGCTTTGAGCCGCGCGCAAGGATGCAACTTAGCAAATTTGATCAGATCACCTCGTATCCATCCAGGCAGAAGATCTTGATGTTGAAGTTCCACGGCAGGCGATGTGGCGATGTGTCGACACTCAGTCTTCGTCTTGCACACCTCCTTCAATATACATGCTACTATGCCGTTGAATCCTCCCCCCTCTTAAACAGGGACGTCGCACACAATCTTAAGTACAGCCGAATAAAGCAGAATGTAATGCCCATTATGGAATACCAGCTCTCCTTGCTACCTATGATTCACTACCGAATTAAACAACAGGTTGCATTGAATAAGCTACTGAGGCAGCCTTCATACGGTGAACATCCTTCACCAGCTCTCCTCTTTCCTTATCAGTAGCATTCGTGAACTGTTGCGAGCGCCCCTCTCCAAACGCGGACGCCCGCCAAGGCTCTATGCAAGCTGATCACGATTCTCACTACTACCCTCCTGTAAAAGCACTTTCTATGCTACCCGAAGTATCTGGGAGGTTAGTGTTGCGGCAATGTGCCTGTTCATGAGGTTTCCTGACAAATTTCTATATCTAGGAAATGACCTCTCCATCTGCTTCCTGGCAAGGAGATAATATTCATTATGCATTCATAACCAACTGCTTAGTTCCTGATTCATCAGTTGCCGAAATGGCCCCTGCCACTAGAGACCCTGCTCCGCAAACCTCCCACTCTCACGACTCACTTAGTGGAGAGGTGATAGCTATAGTGACAGTTTTCCAAGCCTTTTCTACCTTAGCGTTAGTGCTTCGGTTATGGACCAGACTCAAGATTCAGCACCTTCGCCTTGGCGCAGATAATCTCACAATTATCGTAGCTTGGACTCTCAGCCTCGCTCTCGACGTCTTGATCGCTTTCCGTAAGTACCACGCTCAGCCCTTCTCCTAACGCCGCTGCTAGTTCGAATCAGGGCTAACTTGAACCTCGAAAGAGACGAGATATGGCCTTGGAAAGCATGTCACAGAAATCCCTCCGGACACGGACTTCATGACGTCCAATATCTTGTTCTATGCTCATCAACCCATCTACTATATCAGCGTATCGCTGACAAAAGTCTCCATTATCTTATTTTACTTCACCCTCCTCCCACAGCGATCGTACCGAAATTTCCTTAGAGGTATGATGGTCATCGTCATCCTCACAGGATTAACTTGTACCATTGCTGGCATCTTCCAATGCAACCCGATCGCAAGTGCGTGGAATGCTAACATCCACGGCACTTGCTTTAACCAGCCAGCGCTCTTCTTTGCCAATGGTGGTTTAAACATTACTCAGGATTTGGTGCTTTACGTTCTCCCAACGCGGATACTCTGGAGCATGAACCTCCCCTTGAAGCAGCGCATAGCCCTTGTTGGGATCTTTGTGGTCGGTGGTCTTACTATCATTGCGGGAATAAGTAGGTAATCAAAGCTACTTCAATACTCGTTATTTAGGAAAGCCGTCTCGACGATCCAACATGGTCACGATTCGCTAGGGGTTCGTGTTCAAAGATATAACCACTGATCACTGACGTTCTAGTACGGATACCCAGCCTGCAAGAGGCAGTGATGTCTAATGACCCAACTTGTAAGTTTCCACCCCATTCGCTTCATTACCTTCATTAGGCAAGCTGACCAAAGTCTTCTAATAGGGGATCATGTGGGCTCATCAATATGGTCCTCAATCGAGTGTAATGTAGGCATTGTGTGTGCCTGCTTAGTGCACTTAAAGCCGTTAATCACCCACCTCATCCCTACATTCTCCAGCTCTTCCCGGTCCTCAAGAGGGGGTAGATTGCTGAAGTTGAGCGACAAGCCAAACGAGGGTGGTGCAAACAGTCCTCTCCAGACAGTCGGTCGGCGTCAAGGAAGTAAGCCTGTCGGAATCTTGACCGAGATAGAGCAAGAGGAGAGCGCTGTGGATAGCCCAACGCAGTTGGTACCCGCAGGATACATGGGCGATGCCAACGTCACCGTAGAGCACCGTGAAGTGAAGGCTCAAAAGACTGACTCGAATGCAATCTACGCTACTCGGCAGTATGCTATTCATTATGTAAGTTGACTAAAGTCTTCATGAGACACATTCAATTTCTTCTCATTTGAATTATGCACAATGTTAGATGCAACACTGACGCGTCATTAGGATCACAACTGTGCCTGATAATTGCTAATGTTATATCCTGATTCTGTAGGCTGTTAGCAATTTGAGCCCCCCGTCCACTAAGGCTGTATATCAGAGAGAGTGTCATAACAAGATAATCACAATATTACAAGAGGACAATTCATTGATGTCATGATCTTGAAGGTGATAATTACACACACTCTTTTTAGTGGTCTTCACTGTTAGCTTAATACTTCTCTCATTTTAGACTAGGTGTATCTATATGCAAGGAGTGCTGCGAATATAATACCGGGAACAATTCCACGTCGTAATAGGCCTAAAATATATTCCTATACATCTTGCTTTTCGACATATTCCGTCCTTGTTCTGCCGCTCTGCGACACCTCCTTAGAAATACTCGTGGTCTGTGCCAAGTTATCTGGTTCGCCGAGATCCGGAGTCCAGTGAAGCTTGACCTTATCGCCCTCGAATAACTTATCAATCTTCTCGAGGGAAAGATTTTGGGTTTCGGGGTAAAAAAAGTATATGAGCGGTAAGAAGAACGCGTTGAAAACTAGTGGTATATGTTAGTTCGGTGATGAAAGATATCATTTGGGGATTTGCGTTAACATACCGGCAAAATAAATGTACGTGCGCCACTGAATGTTGGTGATACTAACAGGAGTTATCTCGACGACGAGGAAGGTAAAGATCCAATTTGAAGCTGTGGCAAGCGCAGCGGACTGCGTCCGAATGGCCAGAGGAGCATATTCAGCGGGTACTAAAGTTCCCTTGTCAGCTTAACTCCTAACAAGAGCGATGTCCTGCGAGAGTGAATCACTTACGTAGCCATGGAATTGCAAGTAGACCGACAGCGAAGAAAAAGTTGAACAAAAAGAGCACTACAATTGCAACGATACCCGCAGGCTTAGACCCGTTCGATACTGTGCCGGCCAAGATCGCCATGCAGGCGGCTTGGCCCGCAGCCGCAAAAAGCATGAGCTTACGGCGACCGAGTCGATCAATGATCCAGATGGGTACGAGAGACGAGAAGAAGTACGCGACGCCGTTAAAACCGGCTAGCAGGAGCGACAAATCATGTGACAGTCCGACAGATTGCTGGAAGATAACGGGGGCGTAGTAGGTGATGAGATTAATACCGGACAGTTGCTGCATGAACTGACCGCCGATTCCAAGTAGGGTTCGGTGAAAGAAGCGTTGAGGCCCGTTTGTGAAGATCGTCTTGAAGCCACCATGAGTGGCAGCTTCTCTCTCTTTCGTGATGGCATACTGGATTTCGTCGATTTCTTTATCTATAGTTGCATCATTGATATCGAGTGTTTTGGCATTAGCCTGAACCGCCCAGATGATTTGTCTTGCCTCGTCGGTTCTGTCATGAGCCAGGAGCTACGTAGTCTTAGCAATGGCTCTTCCGTTAACGTATTGTTTGTTCAAATAGTTTACCCATCGAGGCGATTCTGGGAGAATCAATACACCAACACAAGCGACAAGCGCAAACAGAATTTGCAAAGCCAGGGGAAACCGGAACTGTGCTTCATTGGTTACAAAGGATAGACCATAATCGACCCAGTACGCTGTCATGACACCGAAAATGTTGATGGCAAGCTCGACACACAGCTAGATGTTTCGTCAGTACGGTGCAATCAATGCGAGGTCGAGACAAACTTCCATACCCCTTTTCCCCGTGCATCTGCTTTCATAAGTTCGGAGTGCCACACAGCTATTCGCATTTAGCAAAAACGTTTCAACATGGGAAATTAAACAGTGAAGAAGAAGAAATGCCAGGAAACAAGGACACCTACGAATCGTACTAGTGTTCATGCCATTTCCCAGGCCAGCTACAATCCTTCCAACGATCAAGTGAGGAATGCTGTAAGCGGAGGCTTGCAAGGCACCACCGATGGCTAGGATAAGGCAGCCAATCATTATAGACCAACGACGACCAATTTTCTCGCCAAATATAAAGCAGAAGATTGCACCGAAGAAACACCCAATTTCATATATAGCAACAACTGTTCCCTGCAGACTCGAACTCCCATTGCCGCTCTCGGTGGTGTCGATTTCAGGAAATTGCTTGGTGAACGCGGCGCCAGTCAACAGACCGGACACTGTATGAAGTCAGCATTTGGAAAATGCTAAGATTATTCATTAAAGGTTGAGTCTAATTTGGTGCTTGGTGCTGATAGAGTTAAAAGTAGATATTGTAGGGAGGCGTAAAAGACGAGTTTAGGATACGTACTAACACCCTGATCATAACCGAACCTATCGGAAGTGAGATGTCAGGCATGAAATTCTTGACTTATCAAATCGCAATACCACTTACAGCAGGAATCCTGCACCAGCCGTGGACGTAATAGCCCATTGCAAGGGCTTGCCAATCAGAATTGTCATGGTATTAGGTAGGGCAATTTAACGAAGTTCGACTATCACCCTTTCCCGCGTTTGAAGCACGGAACCTGACACAAGCCTAGTAGAGGAGGATCCAGCAAGTCGGATCTAACTAAGGCAGAAGAGTGGCCTAATAAGGCTTTATATCTACATCTAGGAATGGCATTGTTTCAAGTCAGCCAAGAAAATTAAAGATTAAATTGACATTATAAAACCACTATTCCGTAGCTTGGACGTTGTGGGCATGGGCTGGCGGCAATATGCGGAGAGAATCTGGGAGAGTCCGGGGATTATGGGGCTTGGCATATGGGGAAACGTGCACTTTACAGACGTGGAGATCATACGGCAGAGAAGTTTTGGGCGCTTCGGGCTACCAGATTGGGGAGATGGGAAGTGAACTCGCCTAGTTCTGCCCCGGGTCGCGAGAATAACCCGCCGAACACGTGGAGAAACTCTCCACCGTTAACAGATGATGTACACACCACACCAAGATCACTTGGCGGGGATCATCATTGCTGGTAGCGGATCAAAGCGCTGTAACGATCACATTGTACGGATTCGATTCCCGCTAAGTTCAAAACCGCAGGATGGCCAACTACCGTGGCGGGAAAAACAATGTCCACACTTAAGACCTTTTCTTGCAGTATTTCACCGCTAAGAGCGCCGGTTCAGTGACTCTTGATTCATGACTAGGATACATTTGGATCTGATCATGAATATTGGAGTGTCAACTGCTTCCAACGTAGTATGAGCCGTTATGGAGGTCTAGCTACGCTAGGTCAAAGTGCTGCAACGTGCCCACTATTGTAACAATCATCTGCTCAGATGAGGATATGCCGCGTACATCGATATCAATAGCACATATAGCAATAGGGCGAAGGCACCTAATATGACTGGTTTTTCGCAGGATCCCTAGCCAGTGGGAATGACCCCTTAACCCCGGAAACTCCCACAGAACAAAGTAGTACGTTATCAATACGGGTGCCGGAACCGTAGGCGTAAACGCAGGAAATGTAAGTACTCCGAGTTCATCCACAGGCTACTGTGAATACCCCTTACCAAGCTGATGGGCTGCATCATCATCGTATATGCCCTTCAGATGTGACATCGCTGTTGACCATATAGGTAATGGATAACGACCGATGTGTGAAACGGGCTCTCAAAAAGGCAAAGTCTTTCAATTGGGCATCAGACTCTCGTCCCGCCCGGAAAACAACTATTCGATATCTAAAACTTATCATTCCATGCGACAAGCCTCGGCTCTTGGTCGAGACACTGTTATTGAAGTGAGTGTTATACGGGCAACTAGTTCTATATGTACTGATAAACAATCCCAGTTCTACAATATCACACATAAAATCATCAAATATTATCAGTTTGAAAGTCCAGCATTTGAAGGGGGTCAAAATGGTTCAGAACAAGGTACTAGCAACAGTGAGGAGAGAGGCATCTCTAGCCCAACACCAATGAACCAAGCATCGGTTCCCTACCAGCGACCGAAGAGCATTGGCACCTTCGCATATTCACGAGAACTAGGCATTATGACAAGGCCGAACTATACCAACCGTCTCACAACAGCGACATGCCTGAATCAACCGACTTGGGAAGTCCAGGGAGCATGAATTCCACCGAGTCAATGAGCATGCTGCGATCCGCAGCGGGACAACTCCTAGATCTAGACTGTGCGCCACCGCCGATTGATTCTGAAGGAGATCCTACAAAGTGAATACGGGATCGAAACTCGCGACGTGAGTTTTCCGTGTCAGAGGTTATTTTGAAAGACAATCACGTGAGTATAAAGCGCATGTACTGAAATATCGCTCCCGAACGAAACGCGTGGTCATCGAGGCGTATGCCGCGCAGGGCTGAGAGCGGTATGCGCATGCGGGATACTTGATAAGTACCTTCGGGTACGATGCTGGGTTGGTTGCGGAGAGGGCTAAGGGGTTTTTGACTCACTTGAAGGCTGAGGGGATTGAGGAGCTTGATGGGGAGTTCTGGGATTTGAATTTTAGGAGGCAGTAGTCTAGAAAGGGGTCGTGGTGATAGGTAATGGTAAAAAGGAAATGAGAGAGGGAAGCGGGGAGATGTGATGATAAACACTAAAATCTTATAATATTGATGTAGAGTGATGGAAAAAAGGATGGATGATCATAAATTATGCCTTTAGTTTCTGCAATTGTCAAGGTTCGAGTTTTAGAGGCATTAACTAATACTAGGCGTAAAATAGAGCCAAATAAGTGTACGGGACAAAATGTCTAGGGAAACCTGAAGTCAAGTTGTTCTAATCAAATGGGGAGAACATATTCCTGTGACATGATAAATGTGAAGTTGTTGAGTGTGAGTGTCACGTTACATCTACACGAAGTGAGCTAGTAGTAAAAGATCCCTATTAGGAATTGTGAAAGGAAAGCCCTCATAATTATGAAACAGATCACCTTATAGTAGCCTAAAATTATACTTTTCGGCTTCCTGTACTATAAATCCTTCTTCAATTCTAGAAGAGGCCAGTTGTAGCTTGTATTTCTCAAAGTCTTGTTGTTTAGGCTGTGAGGAGACGTCACGCCTACCTAATCGATTGGTCTTACATCTTCTAGAACGGTGACAACTAGTAAACATAATCCTTTTATTACGGATTTTGTTAAGCACGGTATAACATGCAACACAGCGATTGAAAGCTGCCGGACTCCAGTGACCTCGTGTCTATATGGGGCCCTGTATTTCCACTTCGATTTCCTCACATAACGAATAGCAAGTCGGTATCTAGATAACATGTTAGCAGCTAATTGACAGTTCACGACAGAATGTTCCTTACCCAGCGGATGACTGCAAGAAAGCTGCGGCTTTTGACTATATTTGGTCTCTAGCACATCTCGGATACTGTTGAGCAGCTCGACATAGCTCTGCTTGGGGTCTTGCTTCAGGGCCGTGACGAAAGCCCACGACATGGCACCAGTAGCCTGCGAGGCAATGGTGGCATCGGCACTCGTCTGGTCGTCCTTGCTGCCCGACCACATAATAACATCGGCGGGTGATGTCTTTGTCTCCACGGTCTTCTTGTAGCCCGAGTTTCCTTTAAACGCCGACTTGGCGAAACCCATGACGGCACTTGCGGCGCCGCCAGTGTCACCCGTCGCATACGACATGACTGCCGATAGTAGGCCCTTACCGGCCTCGGCCGCTAGGTTGGGTTCTTTCAGTACACCCTTGGTCGAGTAGATGTAGGGCAGGTCCAGGGCAGAGCCAGAGTGGCAGGCATCGAAGATGGCAGTTAATCTGACACCAGCGACGAGGGGCTTGACTACAACATGATGTATCTCGTCATCCACGATGTGGCCGGCTTCCTTGAAGTCGACAGGATAGATAACCTCATCGTAGCCGTCTTCCTCGTCACCATCTAAATCCTCTGTCTGGCCGCCATGTCCCGAATAGTGCAGAAAGAGGGAGTCGTTGGGCTGGGCGTCCCTGACCAGCCATGACATGGCTCGGAGAATATTAGCTTTGGTGGGTATCAACATTGGGTCGTGCTGGTCATCCGTCAGAATAATCGTGTCTTCTCTCTTGTATCCGTAGTTCTCAGCAAGAAAGCGGAAAAGGTTCTTGGTGTCGTTGATGCAGCCTGCGAGCTCCCCATCTTGACCATAGTAGTTGATGCCGATCAGCAGGGCCTTGCGCCTACCGGTACAGTTGGAGTACTGGAATGTATAACCTTCTGGGGCGCCGTGGCCGAACTGTTGGGGTGCAGACGGTGGGGGAGGCCCGGCGCGATGTTGTCCACCGTACCCTTGCACAGTCAGGTAGCCATAGGTATCCAGTCCCGGAGGAGGTGCAAAAGGAGGCGGCGGGTAGCGGTTCCGCGATTGCTGAGGAGGAGGATACTGGTTGTAGCCGTGATGTGATGGCGGTTCCCCTGGCGGTGGGTATCGGCTATAGTCTTGCTGGGGTGGTTGATAGCCTCCTGCGTAACCGCGGCCATGTCCACCTCCGTAACTTCCACCATAACCGCCTTGCTCAGGGCGACCGCCGCCATATCCTCCGCCTCCGTATCCGCCTCCATATCCACCTTCGTACGACATTGGTTATGCTAGAAGGAGATAGAAGATGATGGTGACGATGTGTCCCTGGTCAATTGTGATAGTGCCAGTCGGCAGAAGAAGTGAGCGAAGTCCGGCGGTGACGACCACAAGGACGGATAGACAGGTTATAGATCAGCGGGTTAGTGCTATGTAATCTAGCTGACGTGTGTGTCCGTTGAGGCGGTGGGATGTCGGAGGTGGAGAGGTCAGGATGTCACGAAGGGTCCCTGCCAGGTTACTCGAAGTACTAAGCACAACACTGCGTGTACTTCGTAGACTCCGTAACCGTTGACTATATGGGCACCGGATAGTGAACGCTAGAGAAGAATAGGGCAGAGCAGAGGCAGAGCTAGGATCTGGCTAGGGTAAGTAATGTATGAGGCCGGAGAGCTTGTCGTGGGTTGATTTGGGGTCGCTTCAGGCAGCGTGGATGCTCAGTGGACAGCTTGAGGCCTCCACCCCACCCGCTGCAAGTCCTTGAGGAGCGCTAATGCATCAGGTACCGCGCGCCGCGCCCCACCGCGACTTTGTCCTAGGTATCTTGTCATCTTCAAGAGTCCCCTCTTGTCTTCATGAGTTATATTTACCACTATGTAGATCTATGTATCTTAGGTACATACCTACCGTCTACAGCCCATGAGGTACATACATACATACCTACATATGTATGCAAGTATGTAGGTACCTACTGCCTAGGTAGGTAGAGGTAGGAGATAATGAGTGAGCGAGGGGCAAGCGAGACGAGGGAGGGGCAAAAGGAAGGGGTAAGGGAGGAGGGGTGAACGAGGGGTAATTGCACTGTTCTGTCTTGTGTTCACCTACTACCCCGCCATCAAGTTGGTCCAACTCCATATCCCAAACAGACACCGCTCCCTTCTTACCACAGCTTTCATGCAAATCGCATAGATGGTATACATGCTTGATCACTTAATTGTTGACTGAATACAGTCGTCTTTTGAAAGTCTCAAGCAAGAACGTCAAAGGTCTGGGTCGGGCTAGACCCTCAACCCTTCTGAGACTCCCTACTCCTCCTCGTGAATTCAGCAAGTAATAAGGGTCCGATGCTGACAGGCCCAAAGCCCCTCATGATCTTACAATCCATCTTACAGTAGTAGGTACATCTAGGTACAACCCACAACCAACAATCCACAATCCACCGTTGGTCGTACTATGTACACGTAAACGTCCCAAGCCTTGGCTGCATCAGTGCTCATCGACGGCGGCCTCTTGGGAACGACACACACACACAAACAACGCTGCAAACACGGCAAGAAATTGCCGAACAGCTTGCCCATCTGTCCAGAATCTGTTCAGAATCTGTCCTTGCCGGTTTCAGCTGTGCAACGACCCTGATAGGAGCGTCCCTGTATACGTACCTTCGTGCGTGCCTGCGTACTGCCTGTGTATCATCGCACCTCACAGAAGTCGTGCGACCCTTACGAAGTAGTAGCAGATCATTTGGAGGGAGCGGGTTCTCCCTCGCGCTAGTTAAAAGCCACCAGCATCAACACTTATCAGCACTATCAACGCCATCATCTCATCACAACCTCTCCTCGCACTTCACCCTTTCTCCCCCCAACCTAGACCACGACACGGGTCTTATATACGATTATGTCGTCTTTCTTCAATAAGCTAGCGAGCAAGCTAGACGATCTTGATCTCGGTGGCAGCAAAGACAAAGATAGGGACGAGCCCCAGCAGCGTAAGCATACATCCCATAGCTGAGCTACATGTGATGATAGACTCACATGTTGCCAGATAATCGCGATTATCCGCCTCCTTCGCAACAGTACGGTCAATACGGCCAACAGGGTGGTCCTCCACCCCAATCATACGGATATCCAGGTCAACATCAGCAGTCGTACGGCAGTCCCCCACCCCCTGAGGGATATCGCCAGCAATCTTACGGTGGCCCGCCACCTCCCGACGGATATCGTCAGGACTCATATGGTCGCCCGCCACCCCCAGAAGGATATCGTTCGGATTCCTACGGCCCTCCTTCTGGAGGATATCACCAGGACTCATACGGTCGTCCTCCTCCTCCTCCCGAGTCGTCAAGAGATTATCCCGGCCAGTACCAGCCACCGTCACAGCATTACAGCAGTCCGCCACCTCCTGGCCAAGAACCCGTGTATCATCACCCAGAAGGAAAGCCCCCTCTTCCTCCTGGATGGGTTCCCCAGTGGGACCAAAAGTATCAACGCTGGTATTACGCTGAAGAGGCTACCGGTCGTACTCAGTGGGAAGCACCCGGTGGGCGTACTCACGACACTCGTGGATATCCCGGCGAGCATGGTGACCGTGGGGCTCCTGGATACAGTGGGGGTTATGGACATGGAGCCAGTGATTACCAGGACCGTGGACACTCTGGTTACGAGCAAGGTGGCGGCTATGGTGGTGGATATGGCGGTCAGCCTGTAGAGAAGAAGAAGAAGGATAACACATTGTTGTACGCCGCCGGTGGTTTAGCCGTCGGTGCCATCGGTGGTGCTCTAATAGCAGATGCGCTAAGTATGTATCATCTCAGAAATCTATCACACGCACAACAGGAGACACCTGGTGCAAAAGTTAAGGAACTTTGCTAATCTGTCACAGATGACTCTGACGATGAACACCATGCTCCCCCCCCTCAACAATCATATGCACCTCCTGCCCCGGCGCCAGCGCCAGTCGCATATCAGGATCCTTATGCAGCCCCAGGACCTGCCTACGAGCCTGCATATAACGCGGATGGAGAATACGTGGATGCCAGCGATCGTGAGTCCGTTGCTGAAGCCCGAGAGGAATACGAGGCCGCACAGAGGGCTGCAGCCGACTCTGATGCCAGCAGTAGTGAAGAAGAGGCGCTCGAGGAAGCTCGTGAGGAGTACTACGAGGAGTACGAGGAGGCCTATGAGTAACACTAATGGCGGTCCAGTTTATTTCTGGACGAACTGAGAAGGTGGTACGTTGAGTTTAGATTAAGCAACGAGTTTTATGTGATGTACGAAGTCTCTTTTTTTTTCATCAAACAGCTGCGGCATGCAGTGGAATATGCATGGACGGCGCGATGTCGTCTCTCAGAGGTCTTGTCAGAGAAAGTTTACGATGCTAGTCTAGATTAGTATTCATCATTGAGAAACTCAACGTCAACCGCATATTGCACATGCCTAACATGTTATCCAAACTAGCTCAGATCATCTACGGGGTTAGATCATCAAGTGACCAGGGGGGGGGGGGGGCGGAAAGCGTCACGTCAATTGAGCCGAAATCCGAAATGGTGGGCGTCGCGACTAGGTTGCGCCAATCACCTAATTGCTACAGTAGGATTTCACTCAGCCCAACAGGAACCGATCCGGTTCCAGTAGTAGCTCCCGAGCATCCCCGTCTCCCACGTGGATTCATCAGGCCCCTGGGTCTGTTCCAATGCACAGGTAGGATGTCACACTTAGGTGGGCCTAGGAATATACGTGAGACTTCCCATGTCTGAACGTCGTCGCTTTGCAGTGCGAGATACGATACTCCTGGTCACTGACACGAGCTGCTTACTAACATCACAACTATATATATACTTACTGTAGCCTTATTTTCTCTATATGTATGTTGTCAGAATAGAGGATATGTTAGCAGATAACGCGACATAGGGGGTAAGCTAAGATAGCTCCAACTCCGGGGATCCACCCTATAAAATTACTAATACACGCCCTAAGGGTAAAGCAGATTTTACTTAACAACAATAAATACACTTTTGAACCTCCAATTAATTAGCTTGCCTATTCTAACAATTAAGAGTTTTATATGCTTAAAAATATAACCCTATTAACCTTTAGGACTAAATAATACAATATTAAAAAATAATATAATAATATTATTAATAGTTAAAATAATATTTGTTAAATTAAAAAACTTTAATTAATAGGAATATAATTATATAATTAAAGTAAAATTCTTAAACTTATAAAATTATTTAAATATTAATAATAGAAAAGTATAATTAAAAGAATTATAATCTTTATAATATTAAAATTATTTAATTAAACTTATAATAAATAAAGTAATAATATTAATAAACTTTATAATAAAAGGAAAGGCCTTATTTATTTTAAATTAAAATATATATATATAAATAAATAAAAAATATATAAAATATAAATAAAATGTTAAAAAAATAATTATATAAATATAAAATATTATTACTTTAAATTATAAATTTATATTTTTAAAGCTTAAGGAAGAAATTTATTAATAGTATAATAATATTTATAAAATTAATACTATTATTTAAATAAATATTAAAAGGAAAATAAAAATATAATATAAAGTAATAATATTTAAACTTTTAATTAAAGTTTTAAACCTATTTATATAAATAAATAATTAAAAAATTATTATAATTAAAAAAATTAAAAAAGGCTTTATTAAATTAAAGTCTTTAAATATATTAATTTTTAATTTAAAATATATATTTAAAAAAGTAATCCTTAATTAAATTATTAATTATTATATAATTAATTAAGCTATAATAAAAGTAAAATAATTAACTTATATTAATATAATAATAATATTAAGGTAATATACTTTAATATATTTATTATTATTTAAAAGTAATAGGATATTTAAGGATATATTCTTTATTTATAGGATTAATAAATAAGAAAAAAGTAATAAAAATAAATAACTTTAATAAAAAATAAACTATTTAAACCTATATTATTAATAAAAATAAAAATAAAGCTATATTAATAGTTAAAAAAAGGGTTTATAAAGAATTATATTAAAATAATTATAAATTAATATTTAAATATATAAAATATATTAAGGATTTTATAAATTTAAAAATTATTAATATATATTATTAAATAAAATTATTATAGGTAAGTTAAATCTTAAAGGTTAAGTATAATGTTATAAGTCTTTTTAATCTTATAATAGGTATTTAATAAAATTAAAGCTTAAAGAAGAAAAGAATCTCCTTTAAAGTATATATAAAAAGGGTATATAATATATATAAAGTATATATACTTTAAAGGCCTTAAAATATTATAATATAATAATTACTTCTTTTTCTTTAATTAGGTTATTTTTAATTTAATATATAATTAATTTATTAATTAAATATAAAATAAAAAGTTTAATTATATAAATATATAATATAAAGTATTATAATAAATATATTAATATAGTTTATTTATATAAAATATTATTATAATAAAAATATATAAGTATTAAATTTATATTTATATTATAAATTATATATATTATATATTACTTTTATAATAGAATTTATATATATATTTTTATTAATTATTTATTAACTTTATTTCTTTTTTTTTCTTTTTTTTTTAATTACTATTAATTTTAAAAATTAATTTTAATTAAAAACTATTATATTACTTTTATTTTTACCTTATTTCCCTTTCTTTTTTTATTATATTTATATTATTATTATTATTGTTTAAATTATACCTTTTAAAGATAAAAAGGGTAAAGGTAAAGCTTAAACCTTAAAAAGCAATTATATTACCTATAATAATAAAGGTAAAGCATTACTATTATTACCGCTATTTAAATATAATAAGGATATAGATAAAGAACGTATTAATAACGAAGCACCTATATTGTTACCGCCAGCATTACTAATACTACCTACTTCTTTAACACTACTAGCACCACTACTAAGCGGTAACAATAATAACGATAATTACGGAAAGGGTAGTTTAGGCCAGGACCACGGTAGATCTACTAACCCTCCGCCTAATAATTATTCGAACTATAGGGGTAACTTAAATGTTAAGGGCAAAAACCCCTATATAAAATATAAATAATCTGTAAAGATTAAAAACTAACATTATAAAAAGCATATTAACCTTATAGCTATATTATCTATATTAATATATTATAATTATATTAAATATATTAAATATATATATTAATTTAACTTTAATCTTTTATTTAAATTTAATTATTTATTTAATAAATTTAGCTCTATTAATTATTATAAATATATTAAAATATATTAAATATATAAACCTATTAATATTTTTATACTTATATTATATATAAATTATTATTTATTTAAATTTAACTTTTACCTATAATAGCTTTTAAAATTATTTATTTTATTAAATTCCTTAAATAGAATTAATAAATATTTATACCTAAAATAATTATTAATAATATTTAACGCATCTCCCACTTGACCTAGCCACCCAATTAAGCTGGCCACCCTAATAACCTATATAAAATCCTATTATTTCAATCTATAATAACTTTATGAATATTGATCGTATAAATTAATAATTAATACCTTTAAATCCGTTAGTTAAAGGGGAATCCAGCGGTATTTTTTACTATTTTTTACAAAATTTATTAAGCGAGATATTAAGGGATACGCTAAAGGAGCGCTAAGCAAGGATTAATTTAGCGCTTACTTTAGCGTATTGCTTAATAACTCCGCGAATATAAGTCGTAAAAGTTAGTAAAGGGTACCGTTAAATAGCTCTCTTTATTACGAATCTAATGGTATATTTTATTATTTTATACAACTAATATTCGTAGAGTTATTAAATTATCACGTGATTAATGCACCGACGTTATTTATATGGGCTAGGGGGGTGGCCAGGTCAATTGGGTGGCCAGGTCAAGTGGGAGATGCATTAATAATAAAGCCTAATAGTTTTTTAACTTTAAAGTTAAAGGTTTAATTTCTTTTATATTAAAATAGTTATTTTTATTTTTTTTATAATTAATTTAAGATTTTTTAAAATCCTATTAAGCTTACTTTATATTTTATATTAATAATATTAAATATAGTTTTAATTTATACCTAATTTATTATTTTTAATTTTTTTCTTTTATTTTTAACTTTATTTTTTTTTAAAATTTTTAATTACTTTTAATATTAAAATATTAAATTATAATATTTATTAATTATATTTAAAAGGCCAGCCTTTTTATTTAACCTTATAATATTAATCTTTATTATATATTATTTTATTTATTATATTTTTAACCTCTTATTCTTTTAAATTATCTTCAAGGTTTAATATAAGTAGATTATATTTATATTTAATAATTTAAAGCTTAATTAATTAAATTAAGAAAATAAAGTAAAGGTAAGTATATTATAATAAAAGATTAATATAATATACCTATACATTAACTTTATTTATAATTTTAAAAGGTTTTATATATTTAAATGCTAACTTTTTATAATAAAACCTTATATTTTTTATTAATAATATAATTAAGTCTTTAATTTTAAAGGTTATTAATTTATATTTATTATTATAATATTTTATATATTATTTTAATATAATTTACTATTATTTTATTATTTTATTTTTAATTGTTTTTAATTTATTAAATTATTCTTATATAGTTAAAATTTCCTTTAATATAAAGTTATTCTTAATAAATAATTTAAATTTAAAAATATAGCTATATAGGGCTTTAAAAGGTAACTTTTTAATTATTAAATTAATTATTAAATTTATAGCAAAAAAGGCTTATAAAAAAAGTTAAAGTTAATTAATTTATTCTTTATTAATAAAATATTATAAATAACCTTTAATACTTTAATTTATTTACTTTATTTAACTATTAGTTTTAAGGTAAAATATAATTAAAAGATATTATTTTATTTTAAAGTAATAATAAAGGTTAGATTAAAATTAGCTTATAAAAATAATACCTTTATTTAAAATTATATTTTATAAGTTATTATATAAGCATTTAATTTTATTATAAAAAAGGATAATTAATTTTATTAAAATAATAATAATATTAATTAAAAATAAGTATATAAGTTTAATAAATTTATTAGTAATAATTAATATAAAGTTAATTAGTTTTTCGTTATAAAAGGTTTTAAATAAACTTATAATAAAGTTTATAAAAAGTTCCTATATAGGTTAATTAG